CCCTGCAAAATTTTGTGTGAATAGGCGAAAGCATATTAAAGTTATCACACTTTTTGTGATTTTCGAAAAAAAAATTAAAGGGTCAAATTTGTAGAAACAAAATTTTATTTTTCGATCTCAATGAAAATTCGTATTCCAGGGTCTTTCGACATGCGAAATACAAATCTCAACTCTGTTTCTCCTTAAAATAATATTTCAACACACTTTACACCTTTGGTCCGTACAAATTGTTTAAATCTTACAAATTTCAAATCAATTTTTTTTTAAAGTAATTTAATATTCTTTCTAATTATCATGGGTACAATCGAGAAAAAATGAATACTTTTTGAGTTATTCGCCAATAATTTTTATTTTCCTTCATAACTTTTTTTCCAGAAATTTCTGGAGGATAGGACTATTTTTCGCATGTGAAGGAGAATAATATTCTCAAAATAAGTGGTCAATTAGTAGATTTGATGAAGTTATGGCGTACTGACAAAAAAACATTTTAGAAATAATATATATAATATTTTATTGACTCGTGACGTTCATGAGGTTAAAGCGTTTAGACGTTTCACAAACTATGTTAAAAACAATCATCTAACTTAACAAACAGCGACATTATTGCTTAACCAAACTATTTCTTTTGTTTCTCTTGACACTAACGACAGATAGAAAACATCGAGAAATAGAAACAAAAATAGTAGCATTTAAAGAATCATTTATATATTTGTTGGTCCAATAGTTTGTAAAATGTCTAAACGAAACTTTATAATTTTATTGAATTAATGTTACACAATTCTGTCATAGATGTATATTTACAAAACATAAATGACTAACCGTTAATTTGAAAACTAGACAAAGATTCACTGTAACGGTGGACAGATCTTGTCCTATTTATCTTGAAAAAAAATCAGAAGTGTAATGAGGAAAAGCTGTTGGTGCACTGTAAATAAAGAGCCTCACAGAATATGTGACGTTTTTTCTACATGTCAAACACACTTTTTTTTCAAAAAGAGATGAGTATTTTAAAAAGAAAATTATATATTATTTCATAAATATATACACTAGCGGATCCAGGATTTAATTATTTTTTTTGTGGGGGGGGAGGCTTCAGCCTGAAAGCTTTTTTTTCACATAAATGACAATAATTACTTTGGAAAAAAAGAAAGAAGCTAACTATCTATATATAATGGTGTTTAAGTGATTCTTTAAGTCCTTTTAAATGTGATTACACGAACAATAACCCTTTAAGAGATAAGTTTTTAATATATTTTTCCATAAAACATGGTTATATTTACCATTTGGGAGAGGGAGGGCTTCAGCCCGAAAGCCTCCCCCCCCCCCCCCACCGTAGATCCGCCCGTGTATATATATATATATAACTTTTCCAGCTCTCAGGAGTGATGGATTTTGACGAATAGAGATATCAATAGAAAGGGAATATCACGTAGTGTGCGAATCTTAATTTTTATTCCAAATTTTATACCTGGGCTTAAATAAAAGTGTTTGTAAAATTGGAAGATTTTAAACCATATGATGGTGCTGTCTCAACGAATCGAGACGTTACAAATGAATTCATAATTTGCGAATAACTTGAAAAGTACGCAATTTTTGGGTAATTATACGTATGAGTATTTAATAGCTTACTAAAATCCCTACAAAACGTCAACAAAAAAAATCATCGAAATCGATAAAAGTTGCGTATGATAAATTATTTTCACTGCATATATTTCCTTCCCCTCTTCATTTTTATACACTTATTTACGGTTTATATTACTCAGAAGAGCTCTATTATTTAAAGTTTATATTTAGCATATTTATATTGTAGGAGTAAAATTTTGAAATGGAACAATTCCAGCCCAAGAAGCAAAGAGGGTTAAAATATTTTTTAAGCAGAAACAAAGTTGAGATATACATTTAGTATCTCGGAAAATCACCAAATACAAATTTTTATAGCAATCAGAAAATAATTTTTTTTCTAAAATTTGATTCTCAAATTTTGAAATTTGAACGAGACCCCTTTGATTTTTTTTTTTTTAAATCACAAAAAAATTTGTAACTTCAACATGACTTCAGCTATTTTCAAGAAATTTTGCAGGAATTTAGTGCCACATGGACAACACGAAATTAAATCAACAGGACCTTCGTAAACAAACTACTTCTTCTTCTTCTTCTTTGTCTTCCTCTTATGCCATTAATTAGCGTCGAGGAGCCTCAACCAGTGCAGCCACTCTTCCCGGTCCCTGCTTAGTCGCTTCATCTCATTAAGGGTTTTGCCTCTTTTACATCCAATCCTTTGAATGTAATCCTGGAACGTGAGTCTGGGGCGTCCGCGTGGTCTCCTTCCTGTGGGTCGAGCCTCTAATATCCTTATAGGATTCAAATTCTCATTCATGCGGCAGACGTGTCCAAACCACAAACAAACTACAAATGGAGATAAAAAAAATAAAAAGCTATTAGAAGTTTTTGTTTATTTATTCCTTACGCAGGCATTAAATCATATACATCATATCAACAAAACTTTGATACGGCTTTGAAGAGCAATAACTCAGCTTTCCAGCGTATATAATAACATCGAATTCGGAGAAAACCCTGAGGAGTTATGAATGATTTAGTGGATGAATGTTTAACGGCAGGGGAAAAATTCGAATAGTGAAACGGTTTGTCGCTATGGTGACGAGATCCAGGATCCCTCTTACCACTAGCGGATCCAGAATTCAATTTTTGGGGGGGGGGCTTCAGCCCGAATGATTTTTTTTCAAATACATATCACGATAATTAATTCGAAAAAAAAGAAAGAAATTAATTACGTATATGAAATGGTGTTAAAGTGGTTCTTGAAGTCCTATTAAATATAATTACACAAACAAGAATACTTTAAGAGATAGTTTTTTAAAAAAAATTCTGTAAAACGGTTACATTTTACCATTTTTGGGGAGGGGGGGGCTTCAGCCCGAAAACCCCTCCCTCCCCGTATATCCGCCTGTGCCTCTTACCTTCTTATATATTATTTCTCAAATATCCATTTACCTTCGTTTAGTCGTAAGATATAGACATCGAATACACGTTTTTTATTTGTTTTTTTTTTCAAAAATGACCTATGTTCTAAAGGTGCTTTTAGACATTCCATAAACGATGGGAAACATAATTATCTAACTTAATTAACAGCGACATTATTGCTAAACCAAACTATTTATTTTAGTTCTCTTGATACCGACAGCACATGGAAAATTAAAAACAAGACTATTAACTAGCATATTAAAACAACCATTTAGATATTTCTACTTCACAAACTATTAAAACACAATCATCTAACATAACTAAGAGCGACATTATTGCTAAACTAAACTATTAGTCCAGTCAACGAAAAATTTTAGGAGAAAATGGTGGTGACACAAATTTGAATTTAGTACATTTTATGGATTAGTAAGGAGGTAAATATACTATAAGTCTCTGCTCCTAAGTGGTATCAAGTTTAGGGGGAGACGCTTAGGTCACTTTTTTCGGATTTTTGCTTATATCAGGGAAACTATCCATCTTGTCGACCAAAACGTTCTATACAAAATTATTCTATATAAATTTGAAATATGATTGATTATATACTCGCTTAGTTTCAGAGATATCCGTCCACAAATATGGCTAATTTTGAACAAGATATTTTTGCAAGCAAAAATATGAGGCAATTCATTATAACAATGAAATAAAAATAAAAATAAAATTCAATTAGTTATCATAATAATCTAGGTATGAAAATAATGAAAGAACGTCAATATTGTCTTCAAATCATCTTGTTGTGAGCTATTTTCAGCACAAGTTTCAAAAGTTTCTTTATAACTAAAGCCAAACTAATGCAAAATTTTCCAGAGAAGGAAAAATGAAAAAAAATAAGTCAGGACTGTAAACAAACTCTTGAAGTAATATTTGATAATCTAAAGTGGTCACTTTACACAGTCCATTACTCTCGATATGTAATATTGCATTTTAATAATTATTAATAAGGATGATAAATCATGTTTGGATATTCTTTTTATAGATACACGTCGTCATGTACGTTTCGACATTTAGAGTACATTCAGCAATAAAGTGACTAGCACAATGATTTTATCTAATAATAAATAGATAAATATCCTTATTGCATTCCGCGTTATATCAATTCGCGAATTAGAAGAAAGATACGAAAGATTATCTTTAAATCGTTGATAAATACGCAATAGTACACAACTCTATGCAGCCTTTAAACTGCGAAGAGAGGGGAGGTAACACATGTTTAAAAGCAGCGTGTTGTCTGAGATTTCTCAGTCAGACGTTGTGAAAGGTAGTGTTTGTGTCCAAGTTCTTACCGGTGTTCTTAAATATTTATATATATAAGTGAGTCCAATATTACTATTTATAAATTAACTGCTTCAAGGATCTAAATACTTTCAATATATAAAAAAAAAAAAATATAACATTCATTTAAATACTTGCTGGTCATAGTCAATTTCTAAGTGTGTATGTAGCTCATGATTTAAAATACTATTTAAATTAACTTGCTGTCTAGAACAGTTTTGAATTTCCTTTTTTTTTTAAAAAATTTCTACAACTAAAAAGTAACATTTTTGAATCCAATTACACTCTTCAATACTTCTAATTTTAATAGTACAATATAATTACATTTACAATTCTTTAATTTTGTAAATATTATAAAATTTGAAGCATATAAAACATGCATTAATCATGACAACTTGTTTTTTTAATTGCATCATCCAAACTTAAATAGGTTATTAAGTGCTTAAAATAAAACTCGTTGAATCATGATTATATCCATTGATTTAATTCTTTTATACGTTAATACATTGCATATGTTCACACGATTATTTTCTAAGATATCTTAATTAAATACTATAGAAAATTAATTAAATGCCAATTATGAAAGTCAGATTTGTTGATTCTATTAATACATTTAAATTATAAGTATCATGTTCTAAAGTATGTTACGTTTGTTAGTGTTAATTAAATTAATTTTTTTTTCTATAGAAATGACTGGTGTAACAAACGGAGTATGCAGTAATAAGGTAGGAAATGGCACTACAGAGAAGCAAGATAACGACTATAGCAGTAGAGGTTTCGAAACTAGGGCTATTCAAGTCGGCCAAAGCCCCGACCAGTGGTCTTCAGGAATAGTCGTACCGCCAATCCACACTGGAACTACCTTTAAACAAGATGGTCCAGGACTTCATAGGGTAAAATCATTTTAGTTTAATAATTTTTACTTTATTGAGTTATTCAAAGTTGATCAGTAGCATATGTTCGAGTTATGTATAATTATTTTAAAAAATTACTAAGTTTATAGTAGTAAAACAATTACAGAGGCATGATTATTGAAAAATATAACAACTTTCAAATATATAAAATAAAATTTTTAAAGATTTTTTTTCAATATGTTAATTCTGGTTATTCTTGAAAGCTACTGGTTTTCTTCAAATTTATAAAATAAGTGTTGACTTTTGTACATTCATAAATTTTTCAGGGTATTAACCCATCTTCAGGATACTATTCTAAAATAATTAAATTCATATTATTAAAATTTCTCAAAAAAATATTACATGGACTATAACAATTTTTAGAGAAGTTTTTTCTAATATGAATTTACTTATAGAGTTTTATATGTATTGTACTGAAGACAGGGAAAAAAACTGCAAAATGTTGATGAATGTACATTAAAAACAAAAATTAATGAAAATCCATATTCATGGAAATATTATTTTTTGTTTTTGTGTCCATTAAATTACAATCATAGATAAAACTATTAGTATTTTCCTATATTTATCTTTAAGATTAAGGGAAGTATACCACTGTATAAGGACTTCTTCAGAATAAAAAAATACGTCACCACTTAAAATTTTATTTTCGGCTGTCATACCATCTTCAATTGATTTTGGTGGTTTTGAGGGAAGCTGTCTCTGGTTAAATGAAATTTATACAAGGGATAAGTAAATGTATATATCCATATGTGCTTGCTTGTTTTAGGTGAAATATTTATAATGCTATAAAATAAGGCTGCGTTTTATTATTTCTTCGCCATATTTATTTCGGTCTATTTTATTTAATTAAGCTTGTTTCATTCAGTCCATAATCAGATTATGGTCTAAATGTAACAAGTATGATTAAATGAAATGGCTTACTAGCCGAAACGTAGCTGATGTATACTTAAATAAATATGATAAAGAAATAATAAAACAGTTATTTTATAAATGTATATAATTACGCCAAAACGTTGTGAAATTGAAATTTTAAGTGGTGAAGTATTTAAATCTAGGGATGAATTTATTATATCATTTGAATTAAGAATTTCCTATTATTTAATTCTTTTATGTATATATATAAAAAAATCATCTGCTTTTTTTTGTTAGAGAATATGATTTCTCTACTAATTCTTAAGAAAAAGAAACTAACAACCTATATAAAATGGTGTTTAAGTGATACTTGAAGTCCTATTAGTAATGTAATTACACGAATGATAATACTTTTAGAGATAATTTTTTTAATAAGACATGATTAAATTTAGCAATTTCACATGTATTATAATTTAAAAAATAGAACACATTATTATTGTTTATGTTTTCAGGTTACTCACCAATATGAACAAATGAAAAAAAAAATTATTTTTCTAATTAGGACGGGCTTTAGCCCAAAAGCCCTCCCTGTAGATCCGCTAGTGGTACAATGTATAGATGCGATATATGTCATTGCTTTCTTTAATAATTTTTTTAAAAATAATATATTTTTTATAATATGCTAAAAATATATTTATGTAATTTTTTTTCTATTACAATTTATAATAATTTTTAATATGCCTTTCATTTAAAAAGATGCGTCAAATGATAGAAACAATCCGATAATATTGTTTTCTTAGTTTCTTGGATTCATTTCAAGGAGTTAGGTCGTCGTGTTTCAATAACATTCAAAGCCAAAATAAAAATATTTATTCTTTTTTGAGGTCATTAATTGCTCTTACTTCTGTTAAAAGGTTAACATTAATAAAAAATTAAATATATTTTATTCATAGTTACATAGATTATATTTGTTACAAATACTTCAGTTGTTTTACTACTTAAAATAAAATTAATATAATTTTTTTTTAAAATTTAAAATAGAAATTGTGGAATGATTATATATTATATATATGGTGGAAAAATAACACAGCCGAAATTATTTAAATAATATTTTTCACTTAAATGTAAATTGACTATGGGCAACAATTCATTTGTTAAGACTGAGCAATTATTAAAGAAAGAAAAAACGATCATAAAGAAATTATATATCTTACAATTTTCTCGAAAACAGCTCTTAAACATAAATCACATGTTTCCAAGGAAATTAAATGATATTCTCTTACTAAATGTAAACGTTTAAATGTTATTGTTTTTTTTAATTTTGGAAAAAGTATTTAAAATCCACCTAATCAAGGCAATGACATTGTTTAAAATACTATTTCATTGTAGTTGTGTGAAAGAAAAGGTGAAATATAAAAAAGGAAGGAGATGGTCCGGAGTTGCGGTCATAAATAGGTTAAATAGTTTTACCACTATTTAGCCTATTTATGACCGCAATCCCGGACCATCTCCTTCCTTTATAATGCAATGGTCAACTATTAAATATTCGAAATATAAAAATATTTCATGGATATGTAACCTTAAATATATTTACTGTAGTTTAAGACCTATAGATCTATTATTATATTTAAATAATTAGGTATCTAACGTCCATTCTGAAAAAATCATCATGTGAATTTTTAGAAAATTAAATTAGTGCATAATTTGATGTATTTTCCCTTTGAGACATCCCAACAGTGGCCACTTACAATTAGTGACAACTTTTGACCTATCTATGATAGGCAATGCAAATCTTGTAATTCCATTTTATTAAACTTTACAATGGAAAATAACAGTTTAATAACTATTAGTCGTACAATCCATAATCAACTGTTGATATATTAAATGGGATTTTTGTTTTAATGGTATTAGTGATTTGTTAACTGTAAGCTTTAAGCTTTAGCTCGGTTAAAAATGCACTTCAAAAATTTTATAATAGCCCAACATTCCCATAAAATAATTTATATTCAAATAGAGTGATAAGTGGAAGTTTTCTGTTGCGCGCACGTTTTTTTATTAATGTTATCTCAAACAAATTAGATCTCATGTGATAATTGCTCAAAACAGTGATTTCAGAATCTCTTTAATTTTATATTTACTTTTTTGTTCTATATTAGTAATATCTGTTTCCTTTATTAGGGTTACGAATATGGAAGAAGTGGAAATCCAACAAGAAATAGTCTTGAAACCTGCATAGCTAGCCTTGACAATGCAAAATATGCTTTTGCTTTTTCATCCGGTCTAGCTACTATAACAGGAGTTTGTGCGCTACTGAATGCCGGTGATCACGTAATTTGCGGAGACGATGTCTATGGCGGTACCAACAGGTATGAAAAATTTTTCCTTACTGTTATGATATTGATATATAGAATTAAGAAATAAATGACATTTTGTAGTTTAAAGAATCACCTCTGTATTTTGAAGTAACTCCAAAAGATTGATCAATGTAAAAATTTGATTTTTCTTAAAGATATTTGCTATATAACATGTTATTAGTAAAAACATTATTTTGGCTTACATTAAAAAGCAAACTATTTTGTTTAATTTTAAAATTTTAATTTTAAGTTATTTAATATTAGATCCTTTTTTGTGTCTTATTAGAACCTAAAATTAAATTAAATTGATTAAATTTAATAGTATCCAAATGTGTTTTAACCATACCGGAGAATGGGTTTACAATTATAGTAGGCCTGAAATTAAAATCACTAAATATTTATTCTTGTAAATTTTTATAAGAATCCTAGTTAAAAATGTTTTATTTTAATAGGTTTACTTTTATTTTCACCTAACTAAATATATTTTATATATCTTACCGTTTCTTGCATATGGGGATTGTACCAAATGAGTGATATAGTCTAATAATCAAAAATTATTCTTATAATATTTTTATTTATTTCAAAAGCATGACTCGGATTTCATTGTTGACCTTTCAAAAATTTTGATTCATTCCAATGAATTTAAAAAAAAAAATTAAAATGGGTCTCTACTTTGTTCGTTATTCCATTTTGTTTTTATATCATCACATTGTTTAATTCAATAATTTCATGTTTGTTTTAGGTATTTTAAGAACATCGGTAAAAGTCACGGACTTGAGGTGGATTTTATCGATACTACAGTTGTTGACTTAGTAGAAAAAGCCATCAAACCCAATACAAAGGTAATTCAGAAATATTTTTGGTTATAACATAGAATACCTGTTTCTCAAAAATAACCGATCAAAACTCATAATGTACCGACCAATTTGGGTTTTAGAAAGGGCTGTAATTTCTGAAAACTTCATCTTTCCTTAATATCTTACAATTTCTAAATCATTCATTCTCTGTTCGGTAAATTATCTATCTTTTAATTATCTTTTTTTTTTTTTTATGAGCAATGGTCAGAAATAGCCCTGCATATAAAAAAGCATAAACAGAGCCATTTTCTCTCTTTCAAATGTATTTAAATCCCTAAAAAATTCAAAATTAAGTGTGTACGTACAATACTATGATAGAACCAGTTCTGATCTACGGATGCGAGGCCTAGACACTATCCATCATCCTAGAAAGAAATATTGAATAATTTGAGAGGAAAAAGCTATATCTTGAGCAATCTGGGATCAGAGTACTGAGGCATGAAGTAGGACAAATAAAAAACTGCTTACAAAAACTGGTCAATAAATGTCTTGTGATATGAAATCAAGGAGATTAAGATAGGCGAGGCATGTAGCTTGGAGAAATTGATCAGGATGCCTCTACACAACTATAAGCCATGAGAAACCCATCAATAAGCCTCTACACAATCCATGCATATAACTGGAAGTCTTAGTCTAATTTTTATGTAGTAATGATATGAAAATAAAAATTTCTGTTTGGAGAAATGGGTGGGTGCGTGCCCGTGATGTTGGCTGGAAACAGCCATGTGAACTATATGGTCTGCTGTGAGCAGCCACTATACTCCTGTACATGTCCTGCTGAGTGTGTGTATGGATAATATCTGATTACGATGACGGAACTCCTCCCTGATTCATCTGATTTGGCAATATGTGAAAAATTTTCTTGTTTCTGAAGCTTAAGAGGGGGGGAGAGCACTGTTTGGGAGAAATGGTGGCCATCTGAACCAAAATAGCAAAGTAGCTGAAGAATTTAAAAAGAATAAGACTTACATTAGTGGAAACAGAGATAGTGCAAGTGTGTTGTGTATCGGCCGTAAGTCACCTTTCACATGAAAACATAAAAATGTTATTCTTACAATACTGAAATTGTTTTGCAAATTTGCCGGAACCAGCTACAACCTAGTGAGAATCGTGTAATAAAAGCTAGGGACTGATAAGGGTTAAATTTCCTAATTAAGTGTAAAATAATTATAATTCTTTATTTTTTTATATGTTGTGTATAAGTATTCTAAAATTTGTATCATTTTCTCTTTTATTCTGATTATTTATTCTAATTCTCTTTCCTATATTTCATACCAGTACATCTATCTTTTTATGAGTTGCTTTTTGTAAGCTGATAATCTTCAGTTTCTTTCTTATTGTTATTATCTTTATAACATTGTTTTAAATATTGTTTTCAGCTAGTTTGGGTAGAAAGCCCGACAAATCCCCTCCTAAAGGTTATGGACATTCCAAGTATCGCAGCCGTAGTGAAAGCTAAAAATCAGGGAATATTATTCGTTGTGGACAATACCTTTTTGACTCCCTATCTTCAGGTAAGGAACAAGATATTAGTTGATTTTTATTTTAAATTTTTTATTTCATTTTCTCTTTAAACATATAACTAATTCTTTTTAGAAACCTCTGGAAATGGGAGCCGATATTGTTGTTTATTCTATGACTAAATACATGAATGGTCATTCCGATGTTATAATGGGTGCTGTAACGACTAACGACGAAGAACTTAGTAATAGAATAGCTTATATAGAGAATTGTAAGCATTTTAATATTTCATTAAATGCTTTTAATAATTTATTAAAACTTTTTTTATTTTTTTGTTTGTAATTTACGATTAATTTTTATTAACAGCTATGGGACTTGTCCCTTCTCCGTTTGACTGTTACCTTGTGAACAGGAGTTTAAAAACATTGGCTATAAGAATGGACAGGCATATCCAAAATGCGACGGAGATCGCCAAGTTTTTAGAGCAGCACCCACTTGTCGAAAAAGTTATCTATCCAGGTAATTTTTTAAGACTATAACTAAAAAAGTTTTTTTTTAAGAATTGTATATTCCCTAATAGTGTAAGTATAAAAATAATTTCAGCAATTTTTATCATATTACAATGATCAGTCCATTAACAGACAATGGATTCTAAACCTTTTCTAGTGGAGTTGGGACTTTCCACCTCCGTCCTCCCCAGACCTTGCCCCATCCAATTATTACTTGAATAAATGAATGAAAAAGTAATTTTATTCTGAGACTACAGTCCCCTGAGAATAATAACAGATTTACATGATCAACGACATAAGTCTGACTTAGATGAATACAAAATAATGCCTAATTAACTGTTGATTGTTATTGCAATTGTACAGTTGATTGAATTAAACAGTGTGCAGGAGCAAATAAATTTTACATGTTTGTGAAAGTTTGAATATGGAGTAGGTGGTGGAACAGGAGTTGTTTAAAGGAATTTTTGGACAAGGATTGACCTATGGAGTTAGGTAGAAAGTTCCAAAAGGAGGTAGCATGAATGACGAAGGATTTGCTGAAGGAATCAATTTTATGAGAGGGGATATATAAATCTATAGGTTGAGATCTGGTATTGAGAGAGTGGATAGAGGAGCATAGAGTAAGGATGTAGGGAGGGTTTTTGGTTCTGAGGAATTGGAAAAGGAAAACACCGAGGAGGAATTGTTGTCGGGAAGTAGGATAAAGCCACTTCAACTCGATGTACCAGAATGTAACATGGAAATGCTTGGGGACCCCAAATATGTATCTTATGAAACGGTTCATTAGTTTCTTTAATCTCATTTCCAGTCTTGCAGATAGCCCTCCATACACCAAGCTGCTATAGTCGAAGTGGGGGAATAGAAGAGAGGTTACAAGGAGCTGTCTGGTTTTTAAAAAAATACAATCACGGAATCTTAGGAGTTGTTTTAGGACAGTTATGGATTTTCGGGTTATTCCAGGAGAGGTTCTGGTCAAAGATTATTCCTAGGTTTTTGACTGTAGGAAAAAATGGGGTAGTTATTTAGGTAAAGTAGAGTAGAGGAAATTAAGGAAGGGAGCTAGTGAGATGTCTGGATCCAATGGGAATAGCCTTAGTTTTATCTGCATTCAGCTTTAACTCATTTATTTCAGCCCATCTCATGATTCAGTCAATATCCTCTTGCATCTTTCGGGTAGCCTCAGCCATCTCAGAACGTTGGAATGATTAGTAAATTTGGTAATCATCAGCATAATGCTGATAACAGAAGTGTTTAATGGTGTTAGGACGGTCACTAATATAACCAGAGAAAAACACTGGAGAGAGAGAAAGAAACCGTGAGGAACACCTCCTGTTAATTGAAGGGGAGACGATGGTGGTTTGTTTGGAATTACGACTGTCTGAGATCGATTGGATAAGAGTTACTTGTTTCTTTTGTTGAAAAATTTTCTCCAAATCTCAACAATGTTGGATAAAAGGCATAAGAAGCTTTCTGAGATATGGAAGATGGTAATAGAGCAGAGCGGTTCATATATAATACAGTAAATCAACTTTGAACAACATATGAAGAAAAATGAAAAAAACTTAAGGGACAATCTAATATATTAAATTTCATGATTATGTTCTAGGAGTTCTAAAATGGATATTAAACTCAATCCTACGTTTTACTGAAAATTTTCGATACAGTGCAAATGTCTATTATTTTTGAAGGAAAATAGACAACAATAGTGTTATAGTCATATTATAATTATGTTCTCACTAATTTTTTTTTTTTTTTTTTTCTTAGGATTGGAATCTCACCCGCAGTACAAATTGGCCAAAAGGTTATGGAAGGGAGCGTCTGGGATGATCTCATTCTATATTAAGGGAGACCTTAAAACTAGTACAGCATTTTTAAAAGCTTTGAAAATTTTCATTCTTGCTGAGAGTTTAGGAGGATTCGAATCACTTGCCGAATTACCGTAAGTATCCAATATGTAAATGTTTCATTTTGAGCTATATTAAAATTATTGAATCCAAATTTTATACTATTCAGTTATCTGTAAAAAGAGAATCATTACCAAAGATATTTGATTTTCATGTAAAATAAACAAAGCTTTAGTTCTGGTGGTGGATCTTTGCAAATGTGTTCAATTTAGTCTTTTATCTATTATTGTTTCTATTCATTCAATTAGTTAATTTTAAAAATTCTGACAGCGTATATTGACCCTTAGGTTTTGGAGTCAAAAAGTTGTTTATATAATTAAAAAATTAAAAAATTCAAACTTATCTCCAAAAGAAAATTGATAAGGAAACCTCACTGAAACAAATACTCAGCCTTGTTTTACTAAAAAATCAACTGTCATGACTTGATATCACTTGAGGTTCAGACACCACCCTCCTAAGTGTTTTAGCTGAAAATCTACTCATTTTTTCAGTATCCTTTAGACGTATAAAGTTTGTTATCTGTAAATGAGTTGAAAACTGTCTATTAGTAGTACAGTGTCTTATTACTGCTAAATTTATCTCATGTAATCATATTTTCACAAATATATGTATCAGTATATGAGAAATCTCTATGAATAGAAATTCTAGAATTTACAAAACTTTAATAAAAAATATTTAAAATTTTGAGATCGAAAAGTAATTGGCTGCTAAAATTATGAGGATGGCAAATAATCTCGCAATGCAGTCATTTTTCATGTTTATTAAAATTGTTAATGTTTCGACCAAAGCATGTGGGTCATTATGGCTAAAAATTAAAAATAAATAAATTGAAAATTACATCAGAAAAATTAGATGTAGATGGAAGTAATAATAATTCAATTGTAGACTTGAGAGTGTCAGAGTTTTATAAATAAAATATAAAAAACTTGTAAGTTAACTTCTGACGTAATTAATTTACAAAAACAAAAATTGATAACAAATTAATAATTTATATACATATTTACAGAAAAAAAATATTTACAAATGCTTGAGAACTTGATGGATAGGAAATGATTGAATAGGAAGTTTAAAAGTAGATAGGGTATTGGAATGATGTATGTAGGAGGAGATGGAATTCCATTGGGAGGAGAATCAAATAATGAAAGATCTGTAGAAAGCCGCAGTTCTGTGTGCTATTGTATATAAATCTGAAGACCGGGAATGGGTATTGTAGGAGTGAACAGAGGATTTGAATTGAAGGAGTTGGAAACGTATGAAGGAGGACAGGATTGCATGACTTTGAATGAAGTACGTAAAAAAGAGGAGACACGGGGTGAAAAATACACATGAGATTATTTTTAGCCCTAATGTAGACCCATATTCACATGCTTGGGTTGAAATGTCAACAGATTTAAGCTTTTATCGATGATAAGCGTGAAGAGAGGAACGACCTTGAGAACAGCATAAGCTGACAGCTCTCTGTGCTGCTGTGAATGAATATTTTTCATTCATAACTTTAGGCTGTTTATTTGGATCGTTGTTCCGTCTCTCTCATAGACCGCCAGTTGTTTCTGTTCTGTGCAGCTGCCTTCCATCTTATCTCAAGTATAGACCTTGCTTCAGCAGCCACCCAGTCTTCCTACCAGAGCCGTGGGAACCCAACCCGTCTGGGATCATAGAAAGTATTTCATCCGAATCCATTCTTGCAATGTGACCAGCCCAGCGAAGTCTTAATGCTTTTATGAACGTGGATTAATCCACTTTCTTATATTATTTATTAAGTTCAGCAATCGTCCTCCTTCTTCAAGTGCCTCGCTCGCATATTCCACCATGAATTCGACAAAGTACTTTCCTTTCAAACCTGAGGGGCGGACGGACTTACTCAATATTGTAGCTAACCTGAGTCTCACTATTAACACTGAGAAAACATAGTATAGGTTTGAAAGCCTAGAATCTTCCATATACTTGCGATCACAGGTTAATCAAGAGAACAGCTCAGAGGAAGAAATTCAAGACAAATCTTCTCAGCAAATCGAACCTATTTCTCCCTCCAAAAACATTTAAGAAGCAGTTCTTTGACCAAGGGGTCGAAGGAAAGAGTATATTAAACAATAATTTGGCTGGTGCTCACATACGGTTCAGAATGTTTTACTACATTGTATTGTGAATTTATTATTATCTGAAAAATACTGGTTAAAAATTGTTTATTTAGTCTTATGAAATTAACATTAAACACGTATTGCCTCATAGAAAGGGCCACGAGATAGTTTGAACGTCTCGTCATTGAAGAATTCATTACTTAGTACCCCATCATTTAGAGAAAAAGAGCATTTGTCCAATGTCCACTGCCATTAAAGGATTAATAAGCAACACAAATAACTACATCTCCTGATTATTTGTAATCCTCATTTATAATTATACAAATATATATATATAATTTAAATCAAATAAATTTCAGATCCATCATGACTCACGCCTCTGTTCCTGAAGACATGAGGAAAATGTTAGGCATCAGCGACAACTTCATAAGGCTCTCCGTCGGCCTCGAAACTGCCGAAGATCTCATCCAAGACATCGATCAAGCCTTGAAGGTTGCGACTGCAGCTTCCTAGTCATAATATTGCCACGTTTTTAATCATTGTTACTTTTTTATGATTTTATTCTTGTATCATTTTAAGAAAAATGCCTGTATCTACAATAGATTTTAATATATTTATTTATTTTCTATATAAATTAATTGTGCAATGTAACTTTTTTTTTATTATTCATAGTTTAATTCCAGAAGTTAGTGGTAGTAATAAAGTTATATTATGACTATTAATAATTTATGAAATATTTAAAATGTCCAATAATTAAGTTTTTCATTTATTATCTGTCTGTTATAATGTTTGAGAAAAGAGGTTGAAATGGTTATTCCTTCTTTTGTCTTTCAAACTTAAATTGTTATGTTATTGTTGTTACAATCATTTGTTTAAACCTTTATGAACAGTCATTCAATTGTTAACTACCAGGTTTTTTTATCATTCTATTCATAAGAGTGGTAAACAAAATAATTCACTTATAGTATTTGTCAAAAGTATTGGTTGATAGATTGCAAAATAATTTTGCAATGTCGCATTTGTATTTTTTTAAATTAAAAATGTTTTTTTCTAAATAAATGCTTTTATAAGTGTGAACAATTTTATTTTTTTTATTTTTACAATTTATCTTCCTTTTTATTATATATATACTTTTTATTGGTTTTGCAATCCTTTTAGATCCTTTGCCACCTCAACCAGCCTTCTTAACCTCTTCCTGTCTTGAGCTATTGCTTTTCATTTTTCTATATGCATCTATGTGGCGCTACGACTGAATGGGCCAAGGGCTCCTTTATAAATCTCCGTCACTCGGCTCTCTTTTGTGCTTCTGCCTTCCAGTGGATGATCCCTAGGAGGTTTCTTGTGTTAGTTGGCACTCCGTTAACCTGCCTTAACCAAGGTCTTCCAGCTCTTCGGGTCCTATGAAGAATCTCTTCAGATACCTTTCTTCTTCCCTCTTTCTAGATATGTGACCAGCCCAACTCAAGTCTCCCAAGCTTAATAGATCAGATCACGTCAGCCTCCTTGTAGATTTGTCACAGCTCGTCTAATCCTCCATCCCTCGGTACCTCTCAATGGACCAATAATATGCCCCAAGACTTTTCATTAGTTCCTTTTTTCACTTTTGGAAATGGTCTGTGTCTGTAAGGCATAGGTGTTGTATATGTATATCAAAAGTAAAAATTAATAAACGAAATAATAATTAATAAGTAAAAGCAACGTATATAAATAAAAACATTGATTATAAACTAAAATTTCAATCAGAATTATTCAAATAAAAATTTATTTGGATGGATATTTAACACTTACAGACAGAAGCAGATCCAGGATTTAATTTTGGAGGTCTTAAGCCCGAGTACTTTTTTTTTTTAAATTTATACAACAATAATTATGTTGGAAGAAAAAGAAAGAAACTAAATACCTACATGAAATGGCGTTTAAGTGAACCCTAGTGTCCTATTAAAATTTAATTTCATGAACAGTAATACTTTTATAGATATTATTAAAATATTTTTTTCATAATCAATATTTATATTTAGTAGATGTACATTCATTATAATTAAATAGAATATTGTCTGAAGTATTTAGCACTGATCACTCACTGAAAAAAACATGGACCAATGACAAAAAAAAATACATTTAGGAGGAGTTCAACCCCCCCCCCTCACCCTCTCCTAGATTCCCCAGTGCTTACAAAAGAATCGGATTCTTTTCCAATAACTCATTTTTAGAAAGAAACCCCAATAAAAATAGATAAAATAAAATTTGGATGGGAAAATATTGTTTTCTTCAAGACAATGAGAGAAGAGTTCAAGGTGACTTAAGAAATAATATTTATTGACCTTGAGGGGAACTGATAAGTTGTTTACTTCCTTTCTATTGCGTTTAATTTATTTCTAAAAGTTTTATTTTAAATCTTAATCGTTTATAACGAATGCACCTTAAATATTAATCATGAATAACGATTTAAGTTTTAATCATCAATCGTTTGAAGTGACTAAACAAAAAAATGATTATTTTCTGATCTATCGCGAAAAAGGTGGCCTACAAAATTAATGGACCGTTTGGCCTATATAACTTCGTTATTTTGGCATGTTAGGGGCGCGGATCACGCCAAACGGCCCTATATTTTTGTATGCCACTTCAACTCGATTTCGCGATCAAATTATCGTGCGATTCAAGTCACTAGCGGATCCAGGATTTAATTTTGGGGGGGGCTTCAGCCCGAAAGATTTTTTTTCCATATACATATAACGATAATTAATTTGAAAAAAAAGAAAGAAATTAATTACCTATATGAAATGGTGTTTAAGTGGTTCTTGAAGTCTTATCAAATATAATTACACGAACATGAATACTTTAAGAGATAGTTTTTAATATTTTTTTCTGTAAAACATGGTTATATTTTACCATTTTGGGGGAGGGGGGCTTCAGCCCGAAAGCCCCTCCCCCTCCGTAGATCCGCCTGTGATTCAAGTGGAAAGGAAATGTTTTGATGGGTATGTGAGCAACCAAGTTGTGTAACAGCAAAAGCGATGAGAGATTTAGATACTATTCCTTTAGATTAAAGAAATCGGGTATAGTAATCAACGACAATACAAAATTTTAAGAACTACAAATGTACCTGATACATCCTTCATATATATATATATATATATATATATATATATATATATATATATATATAGAGAGAGAGAGAGAGAGATTTACATGTATAGATAGTTTGAACAATATAATAACGAATAATATAAAAAAAAAAGAATTCTACCAATTCTCGGAATTTACATATATAATTGATCTAACTTTTGAACCGATGAAGATAAACTAGTAAAATAATATATATTATTGAAGGAAATTCAATTATTAAAAACGATTTAAAGATTTTTAAAAAAAGATTTAAAGAAAAAAGAAATACCACATTACCATTGGCAGAAAGAATGTCTCTTATTATAAATAAACTAAAACAAATAACATTACATGAAATAGAAAAAGAAACAGCCCCTTGGACCTATATACAACCTAAATTAAATCTCCAACTCACCCAATTCACCAAAGATACTACATTACCTGCAGATTACAAAGAAAAATTCCAAAATATAATCATCACGTTACCTGAACATCTTCTAATATTCACCGACGGATCCAAATCAGATACATCTACTGCTTCAGCCTTTGTCACTCCTGATACTACCTACAAATATAAATTACACCATCTTTGTAGTGTTTACACAGCAGAGATTAACGCCGTAGCAATGAGTCTCCGATACGTCATGAAGAAGCCAGTTGCAAATGCGGTTGTTGTATCGGATTCCCTAAGTACTCTGAAAGCTATGAATAACATGTATCCAGGCCATCCAGGGATACACTGCATTCTAAGTCATAAAAATGCTTCATGGAGTTGGAACAACGTCACATTTTATCTGGTCGCCTGGCCATATAGGAATTAAAGGAAATGAAATGGCTGATAGAGCAGCAAAGGAAGCTCTTACTCTTCCAGGCCGCGGTAAAGTTTTTTTGACACCATCTGAACTTGCAAGACCTCTGAGAGAAACCATATTCCAAGAATGGCAAAGACGGTGGGACAACAGCGCACCTAGCAAATTAAAAACAATAAAGAAAGAGGTGCAACCGTGGACCAGCTCCAGACGCAGCAGTCGTAGAGAAGAGGTCGTCCTCACGCGGCTGAGGATCGGACATACTAGACTGACTCACCTCCACCTCATAACAAATGATTCTATCCCCAGATGTCAAAAGTGTAACCAATCACTAACTATAAAACATATTTTGGAAGAATGCCCTTTTTACACCGCAAGATTAAAAGATTTTGGAATACCCCAGAATATAACAGCATCCCTGGGAAATCAAGAAGAAATAGTTACCAAAGTCATCAAGTTCCTGGATAGTGAAAGACTTAAAAAACACATTTGACAGGCTTTTTTTTTTATTTTTTTATTAATTTTTTTTTATCTATTTATTTTTATTATATTTTCTCTTATTATTATTTATTTTTTTTTCACTTGATTTCATTTCATTTTAAATTCATTTGTTTATTAATCTCAATTCATTTATTGATTCTACTGCTATTTTTTAAAGTTTATTTATTTATACATTTTTTATACATCTTATTACCTATAAATGTCTATTATTATCCTTATTTATTTATTTTATTCTATCAATCCATTTCTTTATTTATTTTATTTTATTTATTTATTTTTTTTTTGTACCAATCATCCAAATAGTATTAAATGATGTTATTTAGTTGATCGGGCGCTTATGACCTGGATGTTTTGCGCCTAGACATCGAAACAAACAAACAATTATTAAAAACTTTCTTCTTCATAACTTTATCGTAGAACGAAGCGAGTAAGAGTTAGTTAATCAAATACAGAAAAAAAACATGAGGCAAACATTTTTTTTTTAAATTAGCGATAGTTGAGGATGGATATCTCGGAAACTAAGCGAGGTAGCGAAAAAGTTATAGAACCAATCATATTACAAACTTTATCAGCTTTAATTTTGTATAGAGTGTCTTTGTCGCTGCGATCGATAGTTTTCCTGATATAAGCGAAAACTCAAAAAAAAAAGTGACCTAGGGGCCCTCCCCCACATCTGGCTCAAAATCCAGGGGAGGGGTGACTTTTAAATGTAATTTTTTTTTTTTTATTGAATATTAATACAATCTGTCACATTAAAGGTCATTAATATTAAGGCTACATCACAGGCGGATCTACGGGGGGGAGAGAGAGGACTTTCGGGCTAAAGCCCCTCCCCCCAAAAATAGTAAAATATAACCATGTTTTACAGAAAAAAATATTAAAAACTATCTCTTAAAGTATTCTTGTTCGTGTAATTACATTAATAAGACTCCAAGAACCACTTAAACAGCATTTCATATAGGTTGTTAATTTCTTTCTTTTTTTTCAAATTAATTATCCTTATATGTATATATAAAAAAAAAATCATTTTGGCTGAAGCCCCCTAAAATTAAATCTTGGATCCGCTAGTGGGCTACATGAATCATTCACACAATATGTACATACAAATAATAACTAAGATAAATGTAATTACACAAACAAAATTACTTTTCAGATAATTATTATTTTTTTCATAAGACATGGTTATATTTTACCATTTTGAGGAGATAGGGAAGAGCTTAAAGTTAAAGTCTCTTCCCCCTCCCCCACCGTAGATACGTCTGTGATTAACTTAATTTATTTTGAAAATAAAATTTTCTACTCTATCCAGTATCTCCCCGCTCTAGCTGGTCAAAAGTCAATTTCGCAAACACAATAGAGATGTAAAAAAAAAAAAAGCATCTAAAATTAAATTGTAATAGTATAAGAGATAAGAAACGTTCATATAAGGTGATCCTGGACGAGTCAAACCAGTTAAGAATTAAATCGATTACATTTAATAAGAAAATTACATTTTTCCAGGAATATTTCAATGTTATTTTTCTTTTATTCTGAATTATTAATGATATTTGATAATTATGGATTGTGAAAGCCCAGGTATGTAATTTTGTAATAACATCTTCATCCACAAATTTCCAATGTTAAAATGCATGTTATGTTATAGCCGAACCAGGATTAAATTTTGGGGTGGAGTTTCAGCCCGAAAGCTTTTTTTTTTTTATAAAAATCACGATAATTACTTTGGAAAAAAAGAAAGAAACTAACTAGCTGTATGAAATAGTATTTAAGTGATTCTTCAAGTCCTTTTAAATGTAATTACACGAACAATAATTCTTTAAACGATTATTTTTTAATATATTTTTCCATAAAACATGGCTATATTTTACCATTCTGAGGGGGCTTCAGCCCGAAAGCTCTCCCCGTAGATCCGCCCGTGCTGTAATGCAAGTAAATTTAAATATATTTCTGACAATTAACAAAATTTGTCTGTCAAAGTTTCTATATAAAATATAATTTACTATATTATATTAAAGCTTGATCCGCCAATTCTTGTAGCAGACTTAGTCTTTCAAAAGCCTCTTTTATTCCTTCTTCCCAAGTCTTCATATCGGTCTCTTTCTCTCTGTAATTCCCTCTAAGGTAGGTTCAAGTTTCTGAAATCTGCGCTGAGCTCATTGATGACCATCGGAAATCTATCAGGTTCGATGGATCGAAATATGGAATTCAGCACAAGGATCAATGCATGTAACCTCATTGTTGTTATTTCTCGATTTACTTTAAACATTAATATTCAGTTTATCTTCTATCTATATTTATTTCTGTTTTCAAACTCAACAATTCAGTAAGTAAATATTTCATTATATCGTCGGTTTATTCCCAAAACTTTGTGACGTTACATAACCTTAAATCACAAAGAATTTTGATGAATTTTTCCTCTGTGAAATAAAAAAATTGCCCACTTGTAGTTAACTATATTTGATACATTAGGAAATCTGTCTCATTTTGGTACATTTAATTTTTTTTTTTTTTTAACGATTAACAAGATAGAAATATACATAAACGCTCTTAAAAGTTCATCTCCATCAAAAACCGAGAGAACTGATTCATCCAAATATCGATATATATAATTACTATATTACAGACTATCGATTATAGACATGTTTTTGTGATATTTACATAAATTCTTTCTTTTATTTTTCCAAGATTTGTAATAGCTTTAAAAGTAACCTGAAGTAATACTTTAAGTTCGAAAAAAAAATTATATTTATAATAACGACAGCACTAACGGGTCCGCCATTTAATTTTTAAGGAGGGGGGCTTCAGCCCGGAAGATCTTTTTTTTGTATTGTATATATTACGATAATTACCTCGGAAGAAAGAAAGAAACTAAGCAGGGGTACCCATCTCCCCCAAGATCGATGGCTCAAGAACCTACCCCTTCCTCCTTCCCAAGTTATTTTATTGCTCACTTTTCTTAAAAACAGAGCAAGCTAAGGTAGAACTAAAAAAATCGTAGATCACATACAATTACACTTGCCGCGGTATGTTGCATGTTTTTCCGCTTTTCCCTTAGTCTGAAAATTCATAACCCCGTCGAAATTTTTCCCGCTCAAAAATTCGAAAACCCGTCAAAATATGACAAAAAAACCCTCAACATTTTTCTTGGCTGAACTTGCGCCATAAAACCCCCTTCTGAGCAGCCCTGAAACTAAGTTTTTTTTTTTTTTTTATTTTATTGAATAAATACATTTTGCCACACTTAAGGGCACTGAGTACTAAAACTGAGTGAGGCACATCCATACCATGTATACAATACAATAAAAAAAATAAATAATTTTAAAAAATATATAGATCTATATAACACAGGCAAAAACTATAATAAACCAAGGAAATGTAACTAGAGTTAATTTTAACTTAGAGTTAAAATTAAATAAAATACAGAAATTCGTAGCAAAATTAACTAAATTATAAGTAAAAGAAATAAATAGAAAAACATTCATTCTTAATTACAATATTTGTAATCAGGTAAGAGATCTCCGAGTGCAGCCCTTTCCTCCACGTGTGGAAACTAAGTAACTACATAAAATGGTGTTTTAAGTGATTCTGAAAGTCCTATTAAATTTAATTAGATGAACAATAATACTTTTAATAATAATAATTTTTTTCATAAAACATGATTGTATTTTACCATTTTGGAAGGAGGGGCTTCAGCTCAAAAGTCCCCTCCCCTGTAGATCCACCTGTGAGTGACAGAGAAAAAATTATTGAGCCTTTTTTTTTCTATTCAATAAATTTTTTCGAATAAACATTTATTCAATGTGATTTAACACTTTGTTATGTTGCAATACTAAAGAAGATGTTGAACTAACCATTTTCCTTCAAAATCCATTTTAAAAAATATGACATAAATAATGGACTTCTCCCAGAAAAACAATTAGGATACCAATAATCAACTTTCAAATGATTATATGATATTTTTCTATTCATAATTTTTATCATATTCTTTCACTGAAACATACTTAATATTATGAAAAGTTCTAAGAAAAGATTTCCAGCAAATTTTTATCAAAAGCATTAGAGTTGCTTCATAGAACATGTGTGTTAAAATAAAAGAAGTACATTTCTTTTTATTATTAGCCCTGCCATTTGGCAAAGAGGTTAAAAAGAAGGGAAAGACTTTTATTTCATTAAGAGATATTTTAAGGCACTTGGGAGGGGAAAAACTGTTCCCCTACCAGCAGGCTCAACTTAGGTTGTGTTTGTGCTGGAATTTTGCCAGTGTTCTAAAATAATAGCAGATATCAGTGAATTCAATGTTATACTTCATAATTTAAATTATTTATGAATCACAATAATGTTATAATAAATAATCGTAACCATTGTATGGATTCACAGCCAATTTTCAAGTGTTGAAAGTCAACAAATTAAACTTTCAGTTCAGAAGTTCAGTATAAACGCAGGTAATAATTTTTCTTAATTCCTATTTAATTAAAGTGTTACATCTCCGAATCTATTTAAAGAAACCCTTACCTTTTAAATATTTAATAGTACAATACAATTGAAGGCATGAATTTATAAAGGTATTATCTGACAAATTAGACTTAAAAAAAAAAACATAATAGTTTTTATAAAGTTTATTTTAGTTGAAAATTTCATGAATGTTTTATGAATCCTCTTCAGCCCCTAAAATTTTAACAAAAATAAATAAAATAAAACATTAAACCAGTTTCTTCAAATTAGTTAAATTGTTTGTATTCTTTAATTTTGCTTATTTTTGTTGTCTTGAGATTTTTATTTTTCATAAATTCAAGGCCTTTTTCCATCAATATTTTATTTCTTTTATAGTATCATTTTAAACATTTCGACCAGAGCTTGAGCCATTTTCAAGTCTTTATTCAATCCTCTAACGTTGTTTCTATATTTGTTATGATATTTCTTTAGCTAAGAAATAAAATGTCCCATTATTTTCGGGTTTCCCCTTCATCACCTATAGAAGGACTGATCCCGTCAGTACAAATAGGAATATAACATTAGAGGACTTAATAAAGAATTGAAAATTGTTGTTTAAACGTTGAGAAACATTGTTAAAAAAAACATTAAAATAATACTATAAAAGAAATAAAATATTAGGTCTTGAATTTATGAAAACTAAAATACATTATTTATTTTTCTCTACATTAAACCAGCATAACAAAAAGAGAGAAGGAGTTGACAAATGTGAAGATATTTTAGATGATAAGAAAACATTTCCTGAAACGTTAAACAAACTTTAAATAAATGTGATAAATGAAATAAAAGACAATAGTCACAAGAAAATTATAATTGTCTATGTTGAAGTTATACCAGATTCTTGTTAAATATTGCTAAAATGTAATCATTTTTTTTTATTGGAAATCGAGAATGACAAACTGTCAATTTATTGTAATTTTTATTTGTTTTCAGAAATGACTGATGTAACTAACAGATTATGCAGTAACGAGGTAAAGGATGCTGGTATAGAAATTCAAGGTCTCGACCTTGAGGATAGAGGTTTTGAGACAAGAGCAATTAAAGACGGCCAGAATCCAGATCAGTGGGATTCCGGAATTATCATTCCACCAATTCATTCTGGAAATATCTTCAAACAAGACGGCCCTGGACTTCACAGGGTAAAGTCATCTTAGTCAAATAATTTTCTTTACGGATAATCGAAATTTATCTTTACTATGTATTTAAAAAAAAAAACCCACGAATGTTCTTGGTTGTAGTACTTTGTAAGAGATGTACTGTTTGTTGGTTAGCTGGTGTGTAGGGAGGTGATTAGAGAAAGATCACACTCAACTGCAAGGTTTTTCCTCCTTAATAAATTATTTAATTAAGAGTACCAAGTTTATAGAGACTGAGTGTGCACTACGGTTGATCCACATTTGATGTAATGGAATAAAACTGACTAAACTTCTCCGTTCTCTAGCATAGATATTTTTATTTAATCGCCATATCGCCTTAATACAACATCAAAACCAATAACTATGCTATCATTTTGAAGATTACCTTCGTCTCCCTAATACTGAAAAATAAGTAAATCCCCTTGAAAAAGCAGAATAAAAAAGTTATAAAGAAAATAAACTGAAGTTATTTTTTTTTATCCATTGACCGATAAAAGTATACAATTTACGGTAGGCTTTACAATTTATCTCATGATGATCATTTTAAAGGTGATCAAATTATACACAAAACAAAAAAAAAAAAACTGTTTCTTGGTCAAAAATTATGCAAGGAGATGATAGAGCCTCAACTGATTGTCAACATTAACATTGCCAACCATAATGAAAATTTTAACAAATGTCTAAGGCCGGCACATGTATCTGTTTACGGGATAGCTGCTGTAATCAGTCAATTTATAAATATACAAGTAAAATTTATTATAATGAAAGAAAAAAAAAAGCATTTAGATTAACAACAATTTTTTAGTAATTGTACAGGAAACACCGAAAATTTGTTTTCAAAAGTTCTCTCTTTATTTTAAGCGAGAATAATAACATTGCATACTGATGATTACACCTATTGATGTTTCTTTGTTTTATTATTGTTATGGATTTTTTCATCAGGGTTACAAATATGGAAGATGCGGTAATCCGACCAGAACAAGTCTTGAATCCTGCTTAGCCAGTCTTGACAATGCAAAATATGGTTTTGCTTTTGCATCTGGTCTCGCTACTGTGACGGGAGTTTGTGCCTTGCTGAACGCTGGTGATCATGTGATTTGTGGAGATGATCTCTACAGTGGCACTAACAGGTATGTAAAAGAGGATCTTTATCACTCTGTCTGCATTTTTTTTTTTTATAATTTAGAGTACAATAATTGAAATATTTTAATTTTAATGAATTACCTCTATGTCTTGTGAATACTCCAAAGGACTATTAAATAAATCAAATTTTTATTTGTATTTATAATATACCATCACTACCATATTTTAAGTATAAAATTACATTTTTGAAATTAATTAATTTTATTAATCTATCTGAAATATTTTGACTAAATAATAAAGTCTTATAAAAACAAATCTAGAACTGAAATAAAAGTAAAAGGATTCAGATTTAAATTTAAAAAATCACAATTTTTTTAATTCAAACATAATTTTTTTTTGTCTCCTGAAAAGTAGCTATATTTATTTAAACATGGTAGGAATGATATTACATGTTCTTGGTAAAAAATATTCTGCCATTCATAAGAAAAAAATTACAAGCCTTTGTCATTTGTCAACACCAGCCCATATGGTGGGGAAAATGTCGCAAAAACTCTCTCCTCATAACACCCCGACACCATAAGATCAAATACGAGTTAATGAGGCTCTTTAGAAAAAAAGTGTTCACATGCATAGACGAGGTTTATTAAATTGAAATGTGAGAAATGCAATTATTGTTCCATTCCCAGATTTCAAGAGGATAGCACTGGTATTGGATCCGGTGAGTGTGTTTCAAGAACAATTACCTTGATCAGGTAGGTAGAGTAGGAAAAGAAAAGAATAGGAGAAAACTGCATAAGAAAAATTGCGTGAGACCTTAAGAGAGAGAAAGTTTAGTAGAATGCCTCTGGTATGAATCTTGCAGAACAATTATGAAAAGAACTAAGAACTTCCTAGATGATCCAGGTATGGACCTAGAAGACCTATATTGGAGAGGTTGGTGAGAACACGATACTCGATTGTCTGGGTATCATCCATTTTTATCTATATCATAACTGACGTAATTGTTTAATTGAAGTTATTTATTATTATTCATTCCATTTTATTGTATTTTTGCTTTTATCTTTATTTCCTTAATGTTCCATATGTTTCCGATTTGGCCCAATCCAGATACCTATCCTTTCATAACAAACTGCAGAACCATCTGAATCCTCTCGTTTCAAACCTTGCTTCCTCCTCGATCCGGGATCTTCGAATATAGAAATTTAATTTGAGTTCTACCAATGGTTAGTTTCTCTTCATGTTGTACATGTCATGTTACCAATGTCACATTTACTTGTTGTATTTTCCATGTAATACAGTTGTAAATTTCATTAAAATAAAAAAAAATAAATAAATAAAAATCTTTATTTATTCCTATATTTTTATTCATATTCTTAAATCTATATTGGTTGGTGTGTGCAGTATTGTAATTTTAGCATGATTAGATTTTTTTTTTATTTTGGAGTTCATATAAGTTTTTAAAGCTTGGATTCTAATTCGGGCTGATGTCAAGTAATTTTTCATCAGTTGTGGATCGACCCTGGTTTCAGGAGACTCTCCTGGGGCACATCCAGCCTCTGTAATGAGGGTATTCTTAATTAAATAATTAATTATGGGGGGAAATCTGGTGGTTGAGCATGATCCGGGCCGATCACCTCTCTGAATGTTCGTTGACCTTGAAACAGTACTTTCCTAACAAAGTACTGAACCCAAAACCCTTCATGAGTTGTAGCGGTACAGAGTTTATATAAGTCTTACTGTTTCTTACTGTTAGATTGAGTTCACTGGAAAATGGAAATGCAACATCATATAAGAGTTGATTGAATGAAAGGAGAGAGAAAAAAGATATCAGAAAATATATTATTTAGTTTAATTCTACTATTTAGTTTCTTTTTTTCTAGCATAGTAGTATGATGTATAATTCTAAATTTAGAAATACTTATAACTATTATAAATATCATTAATGTATCATTTTATAGCATAATTATAATTATATACTTTTTAATACATATATATTGTTATTTATAATGATAATATTATTTTTATTTTATTTCAAAAAGCTGACTGCAATTTCATTGACTTTGCCAAATTATGGCTCTCTTTCAAAAAATTGTAATTTTTAAAAATCAATTATTTGAAATCATTTAATCTATCGTAACTTGTTAGTTTTGTTTAATATAATATGACCATGACCATTGAATGGCTTATGACTATAACAATTTTTGTTTTAGGCATTTTGCTGTTATCGGTAAAACTAAAGGCCTGGAGGTAGATTTCATCGATGCAACAGTTGTTGATTTAGTAGAAAAAGCCATTAAACCCAATACAAAGGTAATTAGTAGTATTTTTGTTTATTGTTTTCATGAATGAACCATTGTAATCAATCAAGAAAACAAAATTTACTCCCCTAAAATTTGAAATTTTCTGTTACAAGATACTAGAATCCGAAAACAGAATACAAAAAATAACTATCTGTCCACTATCTTTGATATATTGGACATTTTAATAAATTTTGAGACTACCAGGATGATTGTTTTAAGATTCAATATTCAATTCAAAAGTTATTTGAGGATGATCTTCGTAACTTGATAATACCATTCACTGTTTCATTTCAAAATGGAGGTAAAAAAACATCTGTTTCTGTTGCAACTAAATGGCTGGAATGATTTTAATGGGACTTACCTAAAGTCTTCTTCTTGAATACCTTTAAATTCCTGTAAATAACATACTTTCATAAAAAAAAAAAAATTATTTAGGAATTATTAAAAAATATCACACTTATTGGTTGATTATGTGTGTTTTTTTGGAAATATATCAAAATTACATAAAATAAATAAATAAATAAATGAACAAAATTGTATTTTTAGGTGCAGAGATATGGATGGCCTTTTGAACTATTTGCATTTGTTTTAATGCAAAGTAGACCTTTCTTTGGTTTTATTGATAACTTGAAAGGATTAAATTTACAGAAACACTTATGATTGTCTTTTGTAACTTAATTGTACAGTTTTTGAAATTAATTTTTTCCCTAAGTATTAAGAAAAGTCATATGAATGGACCAGACATATTTGAAACATAACTATTTGGAAATAATAAACCAATTTGTCAGTAATTCGTAACATTGTTGGTTATTATTCCAGAAGGAGGGGGTAGAGTAGCGGAGCGAGTTAATGTGTATGTAAAATATCTGTTGCATGGCAACCTGATTAAGTGAAGATAATTTAACAAAATAATTAAGAGTTGCTTGGAGACCTTTTAATAACTCCCACCACCTCCCCTGGTCCGGGAAAAACCCCTGTTGCTGCAACATTGAGAAATATATTTTTTGTATTTTATTTTAATTGTAACTTAGGCTTTACATCACAATTAATAATTATTATTTAATTTTAATTTTATACATTTATTTTTATTTTTATTGTTATTTATTTTAAAGAGATTATCCAATCTCATTAATATAATGGTCATTAGCATATCCTTGATCCGAGGAAGATTTCTATTGAAACTTTCAGTTCAGGTAACAACCTCATATAGCCTAAAATGCGAGGAAGAGGAGGAAAAAAAAGAAAGTTATACTCCGGAATACTGACTTTTGATCCATAGAACATCAAAACAATAACTCTACTCCACTCCATTATAATGACAGCCTAAAATATTTAAAATTATCACAAGCTGTAAAATGAATAGTTTTCGCAGTTGAATATGTAATACACAGCCATCTACATTCCTGAAAAGATCCCAAAAGGATCCTTATCATCTTATGTTAGACAGATTATGACTGAGTTTATTTTATTATCAATAAAAGCCATTCTTGACCATACCCAGCAAAAAGTAATTACTTTTTGAGAGTATCACACTACTATACAGTACAAGCTGGTATATGCGTAATGTTGATAAATCCTTTTGTACAAAATTCTAAACTGCTTAATCCTTACATATGGCAAGGAGATTCGAATCATAACCAAGGTTGATAAATGATAATATAAGAAACAATTTTATAAATTTCATGACATTCTACATTCTTAAGTTTCATCATAATTTCAAGTTGATAATTTTGGTATAATTTATTTTATTGACATTGTTATTTATCTTAAAGATATGAATTTTTATAATATTGTTTTAAATCTTATTTTCAGCTAGTTTGGGTAGAAAGTCCCTCGAACCCTCTCCTGAAGGTTTTGGATATTCCAAGTATTGCCACTGTACTCAAAGCTAAAAATCAGAGAATATTATTTGTAGTTGACAACACCTTTATGACTCCTTATCTTCAGGTGAGAAATAATATATCTTGAGGCAAAATAGTCTGTGAACATCCTACCTGTATTTTATTGTATTACCTTCTTTTTTTTCAGTAAACCTGTTTTGTTTTATGCGTTCATTCAGTTTCTATTTTATATAATTGAGCTAGCAAAATTAAACTTGTATTCTAGGCTTTTAACTCAGGAAGGACAATGGAAATTAATTTAATAGATGAAGGAGAACTGGATGCTTACTATAGAATCCGACACTCAAGTCAAAGAATATTTGGTAACTAGCTATCCTAGTTCCACTCGAAAAAAGCTACGAGAAAAGCTTGTACTTGAACCCGAGTGTCGAGATGGAAGACACTGTCCAATTGGTTTCTAACAGATTAGGTATGGAGCTATGAGTAGCCTGCCACCATTCACCATGGATTCCATGGTCTGTTGTGTCGTAAGATCGGGTGACGTTCACAGACTTGTTTGGTTCAGTGTATTTTATTTTTATTTTATTATATTTAACACATGTAATTTTTACTATTTAGAAACCTCTCGATATGGGAGCCGATATAGCTACTTATTCTATGTCTAAATACATGAATGGTCATAACGATGTTATTATGGGTGCTATAACGACTAATGATGAAGAACTTGCTAATAGGATCGCTTATATAGAGAATTGTAAGTATTTTATAATGATGAATGTATTGTTGACTGTTTCGTTGGGGATGCAGTCACAGATGAAATAAAACACTCAAATAAGAAATTTTATTTTATCGTGTACCAACGTTTCGGCCTTAGATTCACAGTTAATTAGAAACAAAATAACAACCAACAGGAAAAATAGTACAAAAAAAAAAAAAAAAAACCTCTAATTAACCTCTCCTGTAGTAAGCATTTTAATTGGCTACTAGCATAATATAACCAGGCATCCCGCTTTTAGCAGAACATTCCCGATATTTAACAATTTATCCTAACTATTTATTTACCTATCACCTAAGTCGCTGTTTAAATCCTCATAAATTGTTTAAATCAGTCATGAAATCTAGACTCTCTAGCTTTTTCCCTCATATCCGCTTTAAAATTATTTTCTAATTTAGTTATAATATGGGAAATTATTTTATTACAAATGTATTCTATTGTAATATTAATTCTGTTACAGAGCTAAGAGTTTTCTTTTTGCCAAAATATTTTCTGTTTTATTATTACTTTAGCCAAAATTTTCAGTAGCCTCGTTGTAGGTAAAGAAAGTACCCATTGTTTATAACGCAAATGTAAAGATTAAGTATTTTGTTTGAAATAGTAAGATTAAGTTACTAGTTTAAAAGAATATTTGTTTAAAATTGTATTCTAAATATAAAATATAACGAGGTGAATTAATAGGAAGAGAAAACAGCTTCTTTATGAAAAAATATATCCAGCTTTTAGATTTCTTCAAAACTATGATATCCCCAGACTTGGCAAGCATAATAAATTATTGATCGCACAACACAGTAAAAATCTAATTTTTTTTTTTATTTGTTATTGAGAATCTGAACATTTGTTCCCGGATCCATTATATACAATAATTAACTTTTACATAACAATATATAAATATATTCTTTATCATTTGAATAGCAGCTCAAATTTATATGATTTTTTTTTCTCCAAATCTGAATTATTTTATTCGATCTTTTTAACTTATTCATATGTAATGTATGGCTATTTATTTTTTTTAAATAGCTATGGGACTTGTTCCATCTCCTTTTGACTGCTACCTTGCGAACAGAGGTCTAAAAACATTGCCAATACGAATGGACAGGCATATTCAAAATGCGACTGAGATTGCTAAGTTTTTGGAGAAGCACCCATCTGTCGAAAAAGTTATCTATCCAGGTAAGAAAGAATACCTATAGTTATTGTCTTATAGTTGCTGTGTCATCATATTACCTTCATTAATAATAATAATAATATTACCTTCATTCCATCCTTAGCCGTTCACTCAAGATTGCTTGTCTTCATGTGTCCAAACTCTAGGGGTTGATTCGAAACAAAATTTCTAATAAAATATTTTATTTGATACATTTGCCGATTCCAAACAGAAAAGGAGGACCAATTTTGGGATTTTCTTAAGTTAGTCATGTTTTTTATTGAATAAAAAGGATTGCTCAAAAACCGTTCAAGATAATTAAATAGAGTACACTATCGTAAACAATTTTTTTTAGAAAACAGTGATTAAATTTAGTAAGGTCAATGATAAAAGGGACTTTAAATTTACTAAGGTCAATGATAAAAGGACATTCACTTTCCTAAAAAAAAAATTTGTCTACTTAACGATGGTGTAATTTAATTATCTTGAACAGTTTTTGAGCAGAAAAGGAGTTAAGACCAATTTTGTTAGTCTCAAGTACTCACCTCAGTACTTGAAAGCCTTCAGTGCTCGAACCATGCCCTGAAGATGTTTGGGTTGAAACGTTGGCACAAATAAAAAATAATTTTTTTTTTAAAAGACTGCGTCCTGAATATTTATCACCCATGATATGTAGAACAGTCGACTAGCTTCCTTCAATAATATATTGATGCTAAATTATTTGGCTTTAGCATTAAAAAATAGGATTATATAAAAAAAAAATATCTACCTTATTATATAAGGAGTATTGTCCATTTTATTTGACAGTGCTAAATAAAATCATGAAGATATTCTGAGAAGTCAAAAAGCAGCAAGTAATAGACCAGATAGAGACTAAATGAAATACCAGAAAAAAAAGGGTTAAAGATGTAATTAGAGAAAACAAAAATTCATGACCAATAATCCAGAAACTGAAAATAAGATAAAACTAAATACAGGGATATCCAAACTGTAAAATAGTTCAGATACTTAGGAGAACTTGTAAAGTAAAATGGGAATGATTTACAGTCAATAAAGAATAGAGAAGTGAAGTTAGACAGACTTAGATATCTAGTTAAGATCCTATATAACAAGGAGAATCTTTCCAGAAAAGCAAAGATCAGATGCTATGAAACAGTAGTTAAACATTAAACTTCTGTAGGAAACAGAGAGGAATATACTAAGGTGTATCCATGGACCAAGAAAGATGGGAGATGAGCAATGGCCTAGAAGAATAAGGAATGGTATGAAGATGTCGAAGATCCATAAACCATAAACATCAGCTGACAAAAAAGTTTTATTTTTTTACTTTAGCCTTAAATGGGGGGCAGTGATAGAGTGGCCTAACATTTGTGCAAGATACGCCTCGCCAATCTAAGTAACTGAAGATAGTATGATAAAATAATCCCGATTAAACGTCCTGGTGTTGGGGGGATTTTAACGCTGTCATTAATTCCCTGGCCTGGAAAAAAAACTGTGTATAAGTCAACAATTAATTTCTTTTTGAAATTTAAAATTATTAAAAAAAAGTTTTGTTCCTTCATTGTACATAATCTATTTCATTCCAAAATAGGTATATTTCATAATTGTTAAAATTCCTATTCTGAGATATATTTATTTATTTTTTTATCAATTTAGTAATTTTGATCTTAATATTATAACACTTTTTATTTCAGGAAAGTGGTAATAAATTGATTTAATCTTTTTTTTTTTTTTATTGTTTCTAGGATTGGAATCTCATCCACAGTACGAATTAGCGAAAAGGTTGTGTAAGGGAACGTCTGGGATGATCTCGTTTTATATCAAGGGAGATCTAAAAACTAGTACGGCATTTTTAAAAGCTTTGAAAATTGTTACTCTCGCTGGAAGTTTAGGAGGCTTGGAATCACTTATTCAATTACCGTAATTCTGATCCATTACTATTACATTTTATATTATATTAAAACTACAGAATGATAATTTTACACTATTCAGTTATCTGATAATTCATATTTCATCACATATTTAGATATTTTAATACTGTGTATTTTCATTTTGGAATCTCTATTTAGAAATATATATTTCAAAATTTGCTTTAATCATCAGGACTTCAAAATCTGTAATTATCCAATTTCTTTCCAAATTTAAATATTTGTCACAAATTTATGTTATTTAATTCTTACTTTTCCAATTTATTTTCTTTATTTAATGTACTTTTCTTTTTTAATTTAAAATATATATCTATTATATCACTCCAATGTTGATATGTACTTTAATATGCGATATGTCTTAAGATGACACGAATAGAAATTCATGAACCGATTGTAGAGTTACCATAATATGGATGGAACTTTTTCAGGATGAAATTTGGATTCTAAAAGATTGGAATTTAGCTTTAATTAAATCATTTCATTTTTTCCTTGAACATATTTTTATAAAATAAAAGATATATCTTTTATAATTTAGAAATATATCAATAAAATAGAATATTTTTTAAAATTTGAATCTAATAAATTTCAGATCTGTTATGAGCCACGCTCCCGTTCCCGAAGACATGAGAAAACAGTTAGGTATCACTGACAACCTTGTAAGGCTTTCTGTCGGCCTTGAAACTACCGCAGACCTCATCAAAGACCTTGATCAAGCCTTGAATATTGCGACCGCAGATTCTTAATTATATTATAAAAACTGTCTACCAATAAATCCTTCTTGCTGCTTCTGACTGCAATGCAAAGAGACAAAACTTAAATGGAAAAAAATGTGAAGGAACCTAATAAGTATGAGAAATTAAGGAAAAAAGAACACGCACAGCATAAAACTCCTAGTGAGAAAGAAGCAAACAGAGAAAAAAATAAAATAAAATTTGTGTACATTTCGGCCTAAGTTTCTGGTTTTCATCAGGGCTAAGGAAAGGCCATACATAACCTTGTTCCTCTTTGAGATTTCAATTTTTTGTAAACAAGTAAATGATTGTTTAATTTCAAATATTTGAACTCTTTTAAAAACTATTTAATTTATTGGTAATACCCTAATAAAAAATAATCCCACACATGCATTCCTTTATCACTACAACCTCAGAATCCTTGACAATTTTAAGCCAAGTACAGATCTTAAAAATATTATTTTTATAGGTTTTGTATATTTTAAGTATGTTAACTCAATTAACATTAAATATATACTTAGCATAGTAATAATGCTTTTCTATACAAATAAAAATAGGAAGCCAAAGCATATTAAAATAGGAGAGAAAATGTATTGAACAAATTACTTCGTTTTGTCAAATAGATTTTATTATCACTACATAAAGTTATGCTTTGAGCATAAATTGACTAGATATAAAAATATCTAATTAAGTTCTGCAAACTCTAGTTCACAAACTAAACTACTATGGTAACGAATGAACATAAATTCTTTATATTCATTACTTATTAATTTATTATAAGTACAATTAACTTTGGTAAACCAGTCTTACTGTTTTAAATATGTCTAATATGAGACATTGACTTGATAAACCTTTAATGCCAAAAGAATAAACAAACCGGACATTTTCTTACTTTAAATGAAGTTTAAACATTCCTCATCTCAATACTTAATAAAATTTAAATAAACAAAACCAAAATATTCTTTTGAAGAATAGAATAAAAAAAATTAATTCTTTAGCAACATCTCTCAAGTTATACGAATATATCATAATTAGTACTTTTGAAAATAAGAGAAAACATGAAACAAGAATAATTAGTTTTAAAAACTAAGAAATAAATAAAACATTTTTCTACAAAGAAAACAATACAAGAGAAAAACATAAATGATTTCTAAAGATCAATATTTTAAAATGCATTAATAAATAAATCATGCTACGATTTCAGTCGAAGAGACCAAATCCCATATCCTCATCGGATTCCTCTGATTCTTCTTTCACTTCAGCTTTCTTCGGAGCTTCAGCAGGAGCAATGGTAGAAGCTGGTGCTGCAGGTGTTTCACTGGCAAACTTAGATGGATCTTTCAAATACTCCTTCAACTTTTCTGCTTCTTTAAATTCAACATCAGTAGCAGCAGCGATGGCAAAGAGATTTCGTAAGCCGTTAGCAATACTGTGAGGAGCAGAAGCAACAGTCGGATATCCTATTACTAAACATACAGCTGCAAGTCTTGCAGCTCCCTCGATGAACTTCTCACGCAAATCTTCTGGTTTGATATCTAAAATCCTCGGTTCGAATATGGTACCAGAATCATAAACCATTTCTACAACTAAGCCATAGGAAAATGGGGAAATATTCAGCATGTTGAGAAGAGTGGCTTCCGAAGCTCCGACTTTGTCACCTTCTTTGAGAATGTGAACGTCATTGATGATTTCGATAGTACCTTTAGATATTTTCGTCGGGATTGACAGAGCCTGGAAGAAAGATGTCTTTTCAGGACCAAGTCCTGTATTTTGTGCTGGGATAATTACCGGACAAGGAGCAATGCCTCCAGCTCTGGCTGGGGCTCGAACTTTGTTTTGTAACAGCTTTTCACGGATTTCAACAAGCTCTCCTCTGGTGAAGACAAATCCTACATTACCTCTTATGTGAGGGAGTAATTTTTCCAAAGACTGATTCCTCTCAACATGTCCTCTGATTGCTTTTCTCATCATTGTGTTTTTCCCCATCAGAACAACAGCTGCTCCTCTGAGGGACATCCTAATTTGCTGCATTTGTTTGGAGCCGACATTATCTGCCCCGACGATAAAACACTTAGGATATTCTTCGATTAACTGAATTAACTTACTAAAATAGTTGCTTTTCCAAGTGGCTTTATCTTCTCTACCCATTTTACCGCCCGACAAGTAATAATTACAAATGAAGAATATTCAATATACGCAGTAGCAATTGAAACCGCAGTATGAAAATAACCTTACCCCAGGAACCGGTGAAAAATTTGAAAAATGTCAGATCGACTTTAACTCGATTTCTTTAAATAATACTTTTTCAAAATTCCGTATAATTTCATCAATTAAACATTCCATCACAATTTATAAAATGTTTAATAACTTATAGTGGTATAATATTTCCTAACAAAACATTAATGTTATTTGGCCTTTGAACTTGATCAATATCAACGCAGAATTATCTAGACACCCTTGATGAAAATACCGCGAAACTGTGGCTAACAAATAACAAACATCCTTTTCTTTGTTTTCGTATCTTCACCAAATGATATTTTAATTAAGACGAGCTCTTAAAATATATAAAATTCTGGAATTAAACGGCGTTAATAAGGACACATTTAAGTTATTCTAATGACGATCAATATTATGAAAAATGAAGTGGTTTGAAGAAACCTTCGGTGTCATTTGTTTTTTTATTGTTTACAAATTAAAACAATAAAAGGTAAGTATATTGTATTTTAAATAGTTATATAATATTATACAAATAGTAATATTTTAAATACAAGCAATTCGCCTTCCTCATAACCTGCATCCAGAAAAGTTCGAAAAAGAAATACTAACAACTCCACTAGCGGATCCAGGATTTAATTTTGGGGAGGCTTCAGCCCGGAAGTTTTTTTTTTTCATATAACGATAATTACCTTGGAAAAACAGAAAGATACTAACTATATGAAATGGTGTTTAAGTGATACTTGAAGTCCTATTAAATGTAATTAAACGAGCAATAATACTTTAAGACATATTTTTTAAATATTTTTTTACCATAAAACATGGTCATATTTTACCATTTTAGGGGAGACTTCAGCCCGAAAGCGCCCTCCGCCCCGTAGATTAGCCTGTGAATAACTCTAAACTAAATAAAATGAAAACATAATTATATTTCACCATACAGATATATTAATATAATAATAATTTTCATTGAACTTTGATTAAAATTACTAATGGTTTTAAGGTAAGGCTTTAAAAATTAATGCAAAAAATAAATAAATAAAATGTAGTGTTTATTAAAATAAATACATTTTATTTATTTCCACTAATTTTGGGATGGGGGGCTTCAGCCCGAAGGATTTTTTTTTTAAAAAACATAACGATAATTACGTAGGAAGAAAAAGAAGGGAACTAACTACCTATATGAAATAGAGTTTAAGTGATTCTTTAAGTACTACTAAATGTAATTACACGAACAATAATACTTTTAGAGGTAATTATTAAATTTTTTTTTCATAATACATGGTTATATTTTTCCATTTGGGGGAGAGGGGCTTCAGCCTCAAAGCCTCCCCGTTCCCGTAGATCCGCCCGTGTTTATTTCTAAAATACTTTTATTTATAATACTTACAGAATTGTTGTTCATATTCTCATGAAAAAAAGAAAGAAAAAAAGAGATTGAAGTCATCGACCGCTTAGGCCTATGAGAAAAACAGATAATTTAAATGAATTGAGGTCTTCTGCCAAGACCGATTTATTTATTTATCAAGCTTTTGGAAAAACAAACACTAATTTATTCCAAACAAACAGGATAAATATATCTTTCAGATTAGTAAACATAATAAATATGTTTGTTTTTCACGTAACTATGATGAAGAATGGCTTTTTTTTTTTATTTAATGGAAATATTTCTGTTTTTTAAATCGATATTTGTAAAATAAAAATAACAAAAATATTGTAAATAAATATAATTATTTCAAATAAACAAAATTAAAGTTATTGTACAGAAATCTTTTTTGAAAATTCGACGCTTAAGCACTCTCGACTTATTTTAAAAATGATAATATCTAGGTGTTATTTGATACAATTTAATTTTACATTGGTATAATGAGTGGAGTCTAAAAAATAATGGTAAAAATATGTATGACAATCATTCAATGATATGAAATGTCACTTTCAGTCAGTTGATTTTATCAAAAAAGTTGGTATAACATCCCAGATATAAGTCTAAATTAAATAACATAATTTCAGAGTTTTATGTTTTTGTGCGTTATGCTATTCACATACAGACACTCGTACAGAATATTTAGCTTTATTTGGACAAGATGAGCTTAAAACATGTATGTTTGTTGAATATTCGAAATATTTCACGATCGCAATTCATTTTCTTACTAAAGGATGATCGTACTCCTTTATGAAATAATTTCTAAAGGGTGTTACTTCTGGGACCGAGTCCTCAACCAGGAATCGAAACTTCTAACAACTTTTTTATTTGTTTCTTGATAAATATTACAATCTTTCTCAATTATGGACACTTATCATAGAGTTCAGAGAGCACATTTACACCATATTTACATAATCATAAATAAATAAGGTAATAACAAAATAATATGCAGCGAAATAAGAACAAAATAAAATATCATAATGAGCACTAGCGGATCCAGGATTTGATTTTTTGGGGATTATGGGGGGGGGGGGGGAAGGTAGAGGCTTCAGCCCGAAAGCTTTATTTTTTCATATATTAAACGATAATTACTTTGGAAAAAAAAAATAAAGATACTAACTACCTATATGAAATGGTGTTTAAGTGATTCTTGACGTCCTATTAAATGTAATTACACCAACAATAATACTTTAAGGGATAATGTTTTAATTTTCTTTTCCATAAAATATGGTTACATTTTACCATTTTTTGGGAAGGAAGAGAGGGCCAAAGCCTCCCATTCCCTAAAATCCGCCTGTGATAATGACGAAAGGAAATAATAACAATGAAATTAAAATTAATAAATAAAATGTTCTTAAAAAATAAAATAAACATCTTAGACGCAGGTATACACTATTTACAATAAGCAAGGGGAACTGCAAACCAGACTTGTTCTCCCTCTAGTGGAGGGAAGAGCGAGGATTCGGGAGATCCCAGTGCTTCTCCCTGAACCACTTCACTGGTATTAAAAGCCAGCGGAGATTGAGTAAGGGCCCTAGCAACTATAGAAGTGAACATTGTTCCAAATAGACATTCGAACAATGAACAATTGAGAGGATACATGGTAGAAGTGGCATACTATCCTTTTTTTATTCTTTTTTTTTTTTATTGAATATTAATACATTCTGCCACATTAAAGGGCATTAATATTAAGGCTACATGAATCATTCACACAATATGTACATACAAATAATAACTAAGATAGAAATAATAAAGAAAAATAAATATAGAAAGGAGAGAGAATCACTTTATTATCATAAAAGGGTGCTGTCCAATTACATTGGGTTGCTTTAAACACAGCATACTTATTAATCGCTACAGACAATTTTCCAAAACTAATATACAATTATATAGTATTAACAACATGTATGAGCATAATATACAATTTTTTCTTTTTTTTTTTTTTTTTTTTTTTTTTTATCTATCTATATATATTTTTTTATCATAATTTTTTTCCTATATTTTTATTTATTTATTTTTATTTTTTATTTATTTATTTATTGTTTTATTTTTACTATTTCTTTAATTCATTTATTAGCACTATACATCCCTTTCTGTTCCTTCTCTCACTCTATTTTTCTCGTTCCCTAGATTTTCTCCTCTCTTTTCCTAACCTAATTCATAACATGCATACAAATACATAAAGTGCAGTGGACGTGGTCAATAAATAATGTAAAAATGCTGTAAAACACGCATGCCTCCCCCCATGAACAAACTCTCTATCCATGCACATGGTGATGGATAATTCCCAGGGAGTCAAGGATTATGTTCTCTGCCAACCTTGCCACGTCCTTTATGTCGACACGTAAATAAGTAAATTAATATGTCTGCGTACAAAAAATGAAATAATAGATAAAAGCTAAATAAAATTTAAAGTAAATAAAACACATTCACACCTATATACAATATTTACATTCGCCAGAGGCACTAGCGGATCCAGGATTTAATTTTGGGGGGGGCTTCAGCCCGAAAACTTTTTTTTTCATAAAAATAACGATAATTACTTTGGAAAAAAGAAAGAAACTAACTACCTGTATGAAATGGTGTTTAAGTGATTCCTAAAGCCCTTTTTATATTAATCACATGAACAATAACACTTTAAGAGATACTTTTTTAATATTTTGTTTGATAAAACATGGTTATATTTTTCCATTTTGGGGGGGGCTTCAGCCCGAAAGCCCCCCCGTAGATCCGCCCGTGGCCAGAGGACTTTGAGTCATGGTTTATCCCCCGATGTGGAAGCCAAGGCAGGACTACAGGAAATCCTAGTGCTTCTCTCCCAGCATATTAGAACCAGTGAAAATGTTGGAGAACTACATGAACTACAGCAACTGACGCTCAGGACCTGAATGGAGAATCTGGCCATTGCCAGAACTCCAATATATAAATATTTACAGAAGTTCGCGGGGCCACTGCTGTTTTAACCTCCCGGGAGGATTGCAGAGATGGCTGGAGCCAGATAGGGATTGTGCTATAGGATTTGGATGATGAGTGAGGTTCTGGTGAAATTTGGAAAATTTGTCTGGGATTAGGTCAAGAACAAATGAGATATTAAGGTGATTATGGAGGGTTTTATTGGATACATAGAAGGGAGCATCGACTATTGTACGGACGACTTTAGATTGAAAGGATTGAATGCGTTTGATGTTAGATAGTTTTGTTGTCCCCCACAGTTTGAGTCCGTAGGTCCAGATAGGTTTCAGGATTATCTTACGATACTTCTAGCAAAAGAATATAAAGTGTCAAGAATACAAAGAAAATTTAATTTTATCCTATTAATAGAGCGAATTGATACTGTAATCTATGCGCAAAACGCTTTATTAATTCCATATTAACCAGACAATCTTTCATTGAGCATTTCATTACGTCTTTTCAATCTCTATAACCTTTACTGTAACCTAAAGGTTTTTTACATCATGCTGGTTTTAAGTTACAGGTTTGTACTAAAGGCCATAGAGAAGAAATGAAACATCGCATATTTCATTTTGTGGGATCAGAATATGCGACAAGATAAGATTGACTAGAAAAGCTCAAAACATTAATTTCCAAACAAACTAAGTTATGCTTTAGACCA